CCTCGTCCTCTGACAGGAGAACTCCCGAAGCCTTCTTAGCCTTCTTTGCCCTTCGGGCCTTTTTCTTCTTCTCCTTCTCCTCGCGCTGCTCTCTGGCGCGCCGGGCCCTGATCTGGGCCCTCTTTATGTACCCGACCGCGAAGGCCTGGAACACGGGTCGCGCCTTCAGCTGCCTGTCCTCACACGAAGAACACGGCTCCTCCACCACCTTCAAGAAGGCCTGCCCCACGCTCCCCGGTGGCAGCAAAGGGCTGATCTGCCGCAACCTGGCAGACCTCTCGTGGAAGGTGAGGTTCCCCCAGTTCTCCTGGAGCTCCTTTATCAAAGGCACCACCCGGAGCTTCTTCTTCTTCTCGCGGCTCTCCGGGTCCCTCACGTTCAGCCCTTTCGGTGGCACCGGCAAAGGAATGCCACTCGGTCCTGCGCTGCCCTCCGACGGGACGCGCGGATCCTCTTCTTCCTCCTTTTCCTCTTCTTCCTCCTCTTTCTCTTCCTTCTTGGCCGCCCTGACCTTAGGCTTCGGCGGCAAGGTCGGAAGCCTCTTCCCCTTCGGCTTCGGCTCCAGCCTTGGCGCCGGGGGCGCCTTCGCAAGCGACTTCGGAAGCGCCGCTGCGATCCCCTTGCTCTTCGGCTGGCCCACCTCCGGAACCACAACCAAAGCCTCCTCGGCAGCTTCCTCGGCTGCCTCCTCGGCGGCTTCCTCGGCTGCCTCTTCGGCTTCCTCCTTGGCAGCCTTCTTCCCTTTCTTCTGGCGCTTCTTTTCCTTCTTCTTTTCTTCCTTCTTCACTTCCTTCTTCACCCTCCTTTCCTCCTTCTTGGGCACCACCGGCTCCTGAGCCGGCTCCTCCTTCGCTGGCCTCGACGGCCGCGAGCGAAGGCGAGGAGGCGGGCTTCCCGAGGGCGAACGCGGCCGGTCTCCGCCTCTAACCGGCCTTCTTCTTGGGCTCCTCGATCGTCCTCGCTCTTCCTCCTGCGGCTTCTCTTTTCCCTTCTTTCCTCCTTTCTTTCCTTTCCCGCTGGACTTCCCCTTTCCAGCCTGCCACCTTCGTGCAGACCTCTCCTTCTGCTTCTTTGCTCCTTGGGCACTCCTGGTTCCTCTCTTCTTGGCCGCCGTCGCTCCTACAGTCGGGCGAGGGGCAAGGAACTAGTTCTCGAAGTTGTCGGGGTGGTTGTAGCGGTGGTGTTGGCGTGGAAGGTAGAACTCGAAGTAGACGAAGACGATAAACTTCACGTAGATCTCGAACTGGCACCGGCCAGCGCTCCCGCGCGGATCCTGAGCTGCAGACTCCTCTCGTCCAGCTCCCGGTGAATCGGGCAATCGAAGTTGAGCTTGTGCCTCAACCCGCAAGGGGAGGCCGATCAGGTCGTAGAGGTTCCCGTCCACCGGCTCCTCCAGGTAAATAAGGAGGAGGTCGTCCACGTATACCAGCGCTATGGCGCGGCGAGGCGTGGTTTCACTAGGGGGCTACGGGAGGCTGGCGCGCCTTCTACCTATAACCCCAAAGGAGATTCCCACAACACAAACAGGCGCTCCGCTACCACTGCGAAAGCAAGCGAACCAAACACTANNAAGGGTGCAACAAACTAGCTTTCACAGAACGAGGAGGCGCGATCACCGGTCTTTCTCGAATCATGTCAGCGTTTGGATTTACGCTTCAAGCTTGGTGCCTGCGCTCTCACAAATCGGTTGTTTTGCATTTGGACTCTCCTCGCTCGGGGTTTTGGGGACATGGGTTGAGATTGGCAATTTGGACTCGGAGTCTGCAAATTCCAGACTTGGCTTGTGTGCGAGATGCCACACAGAGTGCTTATGGCTCTGGGCAGTCGGAGTCTCTGCCAAAAGAACCTTTTTCATCACATCCGCTGCGATGGCAGCGCCTTCTTTTGTCACAATAGGCCATTATCAAGCATGGGCTAGGCTCCGAATCCCTGCTTTACCCTATCCTCCATCCCTAACTCGCTAAATGTTTTCTGATCAAAGCCCCTGCTCCGGAAAAGGCCCTGAACAAACGTGAACTCTGAATCTCGACAGAATCTTGTGAAGACGAACTCCAACGAACACTGAAAACCGTAGTCTGGTTTCTGTAATATGTTCTTTCAGGGTTAAACGGTTTCTGCACGATCCTCAAAGTTAACGTTTTACACATGCATTAGTATATCATTGCACCTTGTCTGTATTAATCCCTTGTATGTTAGCCTTCAAGCCTAGCATCCGAAGTTGAAGTTACACTGATAGTACTGATGGTATGTTCAGTAAATCTTTAGCACTCCAGCGCAGCTTGTGACCAACACTGTTGGCCTTTGCTTCTTTTGCTCATATTTCCGGTGTGCTCCCTATCCTGCCGATTATCTGCTCTACCCGTGTCTCTTTCGAACATCTACATTGTGGTTTTCTCCTGCTGCTTCGATTTGCTGAGGAGTGTTGAAATTTTGCCACGAATCGTTCGTGCTTGGCCTGGTGCTGTGGTATGCCCGAAGGATTACCATCCAGTTCGTGCAGCAATTGACATACTTAGTCGGGTCAGTTCTTCTAGCAGTCTGCACTGGGAAATACATCTCGTTTACACAAATAACTATTTTTGTTGCCTCCTGCATGGCTGAGCGAGACAGATCACTAATATTTACACTGGTTGTTGCATTGCGCTGTTGTGTCGTTAACAACGGTTCACCTCGCAATCTTGCAGCAGCGCTTCATAAAAATGGCGCGTGTCGAATAAACCCCAAAAGTCAAGGGAAGGAGGGTTTCGAGGCGAGTCTCGGGAGCTCACTTGGCCTATCCGTAACTGAGGTGGGCACCCCGCCAGCATCAGCGCAAGAAACAGCAAGCATCGTTGCAAACAAGTTCTGCTGCCAGAAAACAGATTGTAGGTACGTCTTTTTGAATCCAAGCGGCCGCGTGATTGCCATGTAGCCGATGTCATCCTTGCTTTCGATCAAGCTCTCCAGATTCCTTATTACTTGGGCAGCACAACGCGTGGAATTTCGCGGCCACAGACAACGACGAAAATCACACGAGCTGGTCACCATACGACCTGGGCCAGCGGACCCCAAGGCGTTTCCGAACATCAGTGCCTTGCCAGAGGTTGAAGCGAAGGCTTGTCAGGCCATCTTCGCAATTCACTTCCGGTAAGGAAGAGACGAACATGAGTGTGCTGAATACCTTGGCGCAGATTCTCGATAATTTTTGTCAGCCACGATGTTAACAGCTGCCTTGCATGCGGAGAGCGAGGCAGCCAATGCTTTGGAACTTCTTCTGCCCAACCGGATACCTGGGACACGTGGTCAGAAGCATCCTGCGTTTCCTAAGAAAGGACCAGAAACCTCTCTTGCATCGGGCTACTTCTTGAGGTCCACATTGGTCATGCGATAGCCCGTGTAAAGCCTGGAAGTCCCACAACACGACTACTGTTGCCCGTGCTGCTGGAAAGCCAGCATGATAAGAAGCGTGATCATGTTCGCCATAAGATCACCCAACGAATCCAATGCAGACGTCCTTCCACCCATCCGCACAACTTTTTCTAGAATTGAGAACCACATGCACATGATTGAGCGTGTCCTGACCACCTCAGCACCAGAGTACAGATAGATGGATACTTTGACAGTTGCAATGATGACCTAGGATGCAAGCTTTTTGTCTGTGGACCAAGCCGAGCAACCAAACAGCTGAGTGAATCTTGCTGCTTGACTGACCTCTACTAGCTCTCAGGCAGGCGCACACATGACAGTGGCGAATCGTGTTGTGCATTTGACCTGATACACATATTCGAAGCTCGGGCTTAACAGAAGCCGCACGGCATCACCTGTGGACGCTGCGGCGTTAAGGCATGCCCTAGAACATTACTGCCAAATGCAAGCAACAAGCAATGCGCATGGCTTCTTGCTCCTGCACTCCTGCTTGCACGGCATCGTGAACCTGAGGCGTGTAGCATGCCGGTGGCACCAAGCATTGCGCTACAGCGGACTATTTACAGCTCCGCAGCAATGTTGCCATCTGCTTCTTCTCCCACAATCCATGATTTCTGTACGCGCGAGGCCCTGGACTGTCGTGCGATTGATGCACCTGCCACATGAAAACTGTCGGACACGATGTGAGACTGTAGTTCGAGGTGATCTTATCCGAAAATAACCTTTTCTCAAAAGCCAATTCTATGTGCCACGCCTCTCCCCACACTTGCATGTGAAGGTTAGTTTATTCTGAGAAATCAGAATCGAAAAACAAAAACACAGTAGTCGTTGTCGTCGTCGTCGTAGCAGCAGTCGTAGCAAACATCGTAGTAGCAGTATCAGTGTCAGTATTACTAGCAGTAGTAGTAGCAGCACCAGTAGCAGCGGCAGTGGCAGCGGCAGTGGCAGCGACAGCAACAATACCAGCGGCAGTAGCAGTCGCCGCCGCAGTCGCAGTCGCGGTGGCCGTGGAGGTGGCCGTGGAGGTGGTCGTGGAGGTGGCCGTGGTGGCAGGGGCAGGAGCAGGAGCAGCAGCAGCAGCAGCAGCAGCAGCAGCAGCAGCAGCAGCGGCGGGAGCACTCGTCGCAATAGTTGTAGTAGTAGCAGCAGTAGTGGCAGCAGTAAGAGTAGTACTGTAATGGTAGTCGTAGTAGAAGTAGTACTAGAAGTACCACTAGTAAGGGGAGGAGTAGTAGTAGCAGCAGCAGCAGCAGTAGTAGTAGTAGTAGTAGTAGTAGAAATATTATTATTATTATTATTATTAGTAGTAGTAGTAGTAGTGGTAGTGGTGGTAGTAGTAGTAGTAGATTCGTAGTCGTAGTAGTAGCACTCGTAGTCGTAGTCGTCGTAGTCGTCGTAGTACTAGTAGTGCCAGCTATACCCAGCAGTACTAGTAGTACTAGCACTAGTACGAGTACTCGTACTAGTAGTAAATATTCGGAATCTCGTAATACAAACAATACTAGTAGTGATACTCGTAAATAATAGTACTAATAGCACTAGAAATACCAGTGGTACTAGTAGCATCAGTAGTAGTAGTCGTCGTGGTCGTGGTGGCGGTGGTGGTGGTGGCAGTAGTGTAGTAAGTAGTAGTAGGAGAACTAGTAGCAGTAGCGGCAGCGGCAGCGGTAGCGGCAGCGGCAGCGGCAGCGGTAGCGGTAGCGGTAGCGGTAGCGGTAGCGGTAGCAGTAGCAGTAGCAGTAGCAGTAGCAGTAGCAGCAGGAGTAGTATAGTAGTAGCATAAGTAGTAGTAGAAGTAGAA